TGGCTCTAAAGTGCAGAAATGTTGCATTTCTGGGGGACTGAAATATTGTTTGGCTTTCTAGTTTCAAAATGAAACAGGCTTTTTATGTATTCTGACAGGATACAGTTGAAGATGCTGTCTGTCTGCTACGCAACAGGCACCATCTGCAGTGGCGAGTGACTAAAATATTTGGTTGTAATTCAGAAATCTGAAAGACTTGTAATGACATCAGGCCATTTAAAAACTTCATTTTCAACTCCAGAGCTGTGAAATGTCTCTTAATGGGGGGTATGTTTGTTGTAAATAGGGGCTTGAAAAGTCTTTCAGTAGCCCTTAAAGATACCAGAATGGATCCTGTTGGACCCAGGAGTGCCAATCTGGTCACTTAGTAAGATACCAGATCAGATTTCAGGAATATGATTCACGTTTCATCTATATTGTGAGATTTTTTTAGACAGGCCAGTTGTTTGGGTTTGTTTTTTTGGTCTTATATTTTCCTGTAGAAATTCATGCTGCTTGTTTTATTTAATGACAGTGATTACATAGGGAGCCATGGAAGATTGACTCGTGTTAATGTCTGCATATAAGTGGATTTTGAATTTGGCCTCTTTCATGCATGTCTCACTCTTCCTGTCTGCTTTGCTGAGATATTCTCATTTGCCCTTTGTGTTCTTATCCAAGCAGTGCTGGGTGATCCTTGTTTTGTACAGAAAAACAACTTATTTCTGTAGTGTTGGGGTAATGACCAAGTTACCCATTTTAGCTGTGTGGCACTTGCTCTCTAAAGGTCCTCTAATTTGGTGAATGTGATTGCTTCGTTATGCGCAGCGATAAACCTTAAAATGCTGAGAGTGAGAAATGTGTGTATTTCTTCACTGCCACCTTTATCATCGATTTGCTCCTCAAAATGAATGTTGTTGTCTGCACTCCCAACAGCTGTAAATAGAAGGAAGGGTTTGGTCAGAAGCATATATGCTTTAAGCTGGGTAGATAATATCAGGACTCGTGCACAGACCTGGAGCTGTCTGAGGGCTCCCGTGGAGGCATTTCTGGTTTGAATAGCAGGAGCTGGACCGGGCGGCCGAAGCCTGGAAGCACAGCCTCCGCCAGCCCGGCCACAGGCTCGCAATTGTTTGGCCACACTGGAGGGAAGAGAGGAAAAAAAAAAAAAGCCTTCCAAGCACTGCCAAATTTTCTTTGATATGTTAATCTTTTGATAACAGTTTGAAAAGCCCTTGGAGACTTTTTTTAGATTTTAGACAAAATAGTTCATTTGTCAGGACTTCCCTTGCAGATAGGGTCTCGGTTATTAAGAGCTGCCTCACTAACGGGTGATAACAAAAGCAAGTGCAGAGGACAGCTGCTGGACTGCTTGTGGGTAAGAGAAACTTTCAGTTATCTCAGGGTTTTTGCAAATATCTGAAAAGACTATAATGGAGAATGTTTAAGATACGGTTTGTAGGTTTATTTACTTGTGTAATTTAAGCATCCGAATGATGATGGAGCGTAAGTGTATGTAACAATTTGTTAACTTTTTTGTGCATATCCATACATGGATTTCACTGAACACTTGAGCTGTCAAAATTAAATTTTCATCTGAGAAATGTGATACTTAAATTACCCAGTGATTGCAGCAGATGTCAAAAATTTCTTCTTTTGTAGCTGTAGTCTTTCCAGACCTTGGAATTTTTCTCTTGAAATTGTGACACTTGTAGTTCAACTGGACAAGAAGAATAAACTGATGGCAGCACTGTATGTATGCTAAAGCAGAATTTGGTTTTAAGGAATATGGATTTGGGACAACTCTTGAGGAGAACAGAGGGAAAGATCTCTTTGCTTCCTACCCCCCCAAATCAAACTTGAAGAGTAAAATTTGCACAGAAGTGAATTGCTGGAAGACTGACTCTGGATAAGCTAGTAGTCTTTCCAAGTGTGGCTTGCAGAACTCTGCAGGCATACTGATTGAGTCTTACTGTAGTTCTTTAACAACATTTGATAAATGTGCCCTGAGTTTACTTGCAACTTTTATACTGTTGCTACAAACGTTTACTGCCCATAAATAATTTTGTAGGACTGCTTGGTATCCTGGTTGTTTAGTTGGGATAGATCAACAAATAGATGTTGGTGTAGTAATTCAGAAAAGATGCAACGTTTTTTTCGCTGTGGAGGATGCATGTATTTTTAAGGTCTGTACACTGCTTAATTTGTCCGGGGATCTAATTTGTGATCTACTTTAGCACCAAATAATATCAACTTAAACCTGAAACTGCAGGTGCTGTCCCCCTCATAGCTACATATTCTTCAGGACAGGGGCAAATACCAAATGCTGTTTAACTTCATTTTGATTATTTTTTTAAAACAAAGTTACAGATTTACAGTTACTCTTGGAAGTACTTGCTGTTCAGACGCTGTTCAGCTGGTGGCTATACCGTGTGTTAAATTTATACCTGTGTTTAAAATGCTGCCAGTGATTTCATTCTCTTAACCTCAGTGGCACACTGCGTTTCTTTTACAGAACTTTTTGATACTTCCTACTTTTCTGACTAGAATGTGCTTAGCTATACAGTAGTAGCTCACTGAGTAAAAATTGTGTAAGTGAAGTGATAGTACTTTCACCATTTCCATTGGTTTTGGCCCCTTTCTTTAAAAGGAATAAATAGTGCTTTTTGATAGCTACTTTGTTTGTTACAGGGAGAAAGGACTTCTCTAGCTATTCACTCCAGGCAGCTTGTGCTGGAGGGAGGCACTTCGTATTTGAATATTGCTGCATCCATGTTGCTTCTTGGGAGCTCATTTCATCCTCACTGCAATTCGAGTACTGGTACAATGTCATACACCTGGTAGTCTGAAAAGTCCAAGGCTTATGTTTAAATGGTTAATTACATACTTGAAGTATCAAAATGTTTAATTCCCCACCATGTTATAGAAGGAAGGAAAGATCAAATGCAGTTTGCTAAAGTCTCTTCTGAGTTGGTGAGATGCTGATTCCTTCGGTCTGACCCTGCAGCCCAAACTCACCTCTGAAGAGGGTAACCCTACAGAGCCCGTGGTGGGGGTGTTCCACCCCAACTTTCAGCAGGGCTGTGAGGAAACAAACCCAAAAAAGCTATGCGCTTGAACTCCTGATGGTGAGCTTGGGCTGATGATGTGCCAAAAGGGAGAAGATAGGAGAAAGAGTGCTGTTCTTCATTGCTAATAGGAATGATTTTCATGACCCAACAACTAAGAAAATATCTGTAATGTTTTCTAAGTTTAGAGATTTGAATATGATATGGAAAATTACAGGTAGGATGTGAAATGTTAATGTGTGTGTTAGTTGAAGGCTGCTCAGTAGATGAGTCTGTATAAAATAATGCAGATGGAGCTAATGATGGGAGTCAAAAATAGCCTCCTAATGCTTCTTGTGTATTCCCTGTATGATTCTACCCAGCTGTTCAAAGAACTCATTGAATCACAGGAATTATTGCTGGTGCTCCCCGTGCTGAGATTTCCCTTCCTGCTTCTTCAGACCGACGACTTGACGCTCCTTCTTAGCTGCGGAACAGCCCTAAAGGAGGGCAACGGCACTCCTCTCACGCTGCCGAGGTCTCCCATAAGGTGCCTGTTGTGATGTGTTGGCCATATGGATATCTCAGTTGAGATTTATTGATCTTGAAGCTGTTTGCATTTACTTTGCTCCTGGTGCTTTCCCATGTCAAGTATGGTTGTTAGGAGAGATGCTCATCGAGGCTGGAGTTTTGCCTGCTGGCACGGTTGATGTTGCAGTGCGCTATAGCAGGGCAACGCATGTTTGTTTAGGGGCAGACTAGTTCAAGTATGATAAATCTAATAATTCTCTCATGGAGCTGTGAACTCTGTTAGAAGTATAATTCTGTAAATACACAGAACTTTTTCTGTCTGCGTGACTTCTTGATTCAAAGTGTGATTTGTGTGGGGTACATAAAGTTGTTTGATGTTATTAATTCGAAGATTGTTCTCAGGATCTTTCGTAGCAATCCTATGTTGGTTTTGGACAAACTTAGCTGAATGCATGTGTCTGTCCCAGGATAAAAAGCTGTTCAGTGAGGAAAAGTGGCACTTTAAACAAAAACGTGTTTTAGAACTTGCATGGCTTGTGTAACAGGTAAGGAGGTATCAGCGGGGCACATATTTTGGCTTAGTGTCCAGATCAGTGTGCAGTAAGTCAGGTATTCATAGTACAGTGCTGGATCGTAATAGGAAATCGTCAGTTCAGCGATGCAGGGAGCCTGTGAGCTGGTGTTTCTGTCAAAGATGACTGTTGTTTAGCAAATCAGCTTCCTTCCACACTGAGCAAAATCCAAGCTGTGTCAAGCACTCAGCTTATGAAGTGCTGAGTTGTTGTTCACCTGTGCTGAGCCCTCTGTGGGGATGCAGTTCTTTGTGCTGAGGGTGTTTCTTCCAGTAGGACCTTGCTCAGCAGTGGGAACAGATTTCTGAGGGGACACAGATTTGGGCAGCAGCAGGAACCTTTTCTGTTGGGTTCCTGCTTCCTTTGTTGGCTTAATTGCACAGGAGGTGGTCACTTGCAGAAACCATGCGAGGAGGAGGTGATGTTGATAAAACTGCTGGAGTTGGGAGGAAGTACCTATTGAAGCTGGCATTGCTGCTCCATGTAAGTGCATGGATCCAGGGGCTGGCTTGGAGAGGATCTGACTTGGAGCTGGTGATTCGATTTGTGAAATGTTGGGGAGTTAATGATGGCAGAGAACCTGGTAACGGTTGTGCTGTTGTCATAAAGCTACCTAATACTAAGGATTTTGAATAGTGGCCTCCTTTCCTTCAATGGACAGCTGAGATGAAATTAGGTGGATGTCTTTCACCTTGATTTTTTTGTTTGTAACAGCCTTCTGACTGGAAAATGGTAATTACAGTATCTACTTGTTCGATGACAGTGAATCCTTATGGACTGCCTGTGTGCTGTGGTAGTAAGTGCTGTCTTCGGAGAGATTTATATGCGTGCAGTGAATAAAAACAAAGGCTGTACAGTGTCAGTGCGGACAATGACTGTTAATCCATGTCTTGGCAGGTGAGCACTGCCTGTTCAGTGGTTTTAACTGTGGTAGGTGGTCCTGTGGAAGTATAACAGGGTGCATTAATTATAAATGGTATACGGTTAACATGTACGGGGGGACCAAGTAAAGGTTAGGTACAGCTTTAATTTCAGCAATTTAGCTTTTTGACTTAGTATCTTTGATATTTCTGTTTGTGATGTTGAAACTTCTGCTGAGCCTCATAGTATGTTGTAGCCTTTTGTTTGTGGTTCTTCCCTATTGGAACAGGGATCTGTGTGCACTGTGTTCATCTCAGAGAGACCTTTATACTTTTTCATACATTTCCCTATTCATGAAACTTGTGATTGTAAGCTATCCTCAGAGCACCTTGCAAAATTTGCAACTGTGAGAGATTTACAGTAAGAAACAAACCCATTGATACAACTTGAATGGTAAAAGAATTGGAAAGCAGCAAGAAGACTCACATCAGAAGAACTCACCATCAAACATGTTTAGATTTAGAAGTAGTAGACTGGGGACTAAACCTTTTTTAGCACATACTTATTTTTCTGCTCAGATGAGAAATGCACCTCTTAGGGATGCAGTGCTTTTCCTCTCAAAGGATAGCCAGGCTATCCTTTAAGGTAAATTGGTACAAGTTTTTTTTCCCTCCTTCAAAGCTTGCTTGTTTCTGCAATATTTCACTTGTAAAGCTTTACGATTGAACACTGGATGAATATGAGAAGTCCTTGGGGCGGTACTACTGGAAACTAGTAACAGTGCAAATCTAAGATTGATATTAGTATGTTGTCAGTGTGTTTTATGTGTATGCACTAGCAGAAAATAACTCAAAGCAACTAATACTTAGGTATAAAATCAGTAATTTGCTTCAATTTTTAATTCTTCTGTTGTTAAAGGTCTTCCATATCTCAAGTCGAGAAGTTTCATATCATGCTAAACATGGAGAAAGAAGAAAAGAAATTTGTCAATAAAGCAGAGGAAGATGAGATGGTAATTAATTCTGTTGTCTATTTTCATACACTGAAATAAACACATTTTCATGGTTTTCTCTCTAAATGGGGCGTGTCACACCCGGAAGTGGACTGTCTTGATTTAGATCAGTTTAGCAATTTTATAAGGTTATCCTTTGTTAATCTTTTCTGATATTAAGAAATCTAGTATTGGGATAGGGGATGTTTTTGCTGAAAGCCTTTGCTTGCTCGATGGTCAGCATTGAGGTCAGCAGTCCAATAGATAAAAGTTTTTTGGTACTTAACTTTTTTTAAAGGAAAATGAGATCAGAGTAGGTTGATTTGGCTTTTTGTCTTTTTTTTTTTTTTCCCCCTCTCCAAATCTTGGAGCTTTTTTTTGTCATTAAAAACAGGTTAATGCTGCATAATCTTGACTGTAGTCTGCATACTTTTGCATATTCATATTTATGCAGATAGGACCCATGCCTTATGTCATGGTGAGCAGTTTTATGAGTATTTGGTAGCACATGAACTTTGCTTCCTACTACACCAATGATACCTCTTATTGTTTGTCCTGGAAGACACAGCAGTTAGCTTTGAGAGGAATGTAGTGGCAGCTGATCTTTAAATTTCAAGCTCGTTCTAGAGACAACTGAAAATATTGGCTATATAAGGATTTTTATTTATTAAAATGGTAGATTCCACTGAATTGAAGCCCTTGTTTCTTCTTTGTGCACACTGCTAGGAAAAGCTGCTCTTTACTAGATGAGCTGTAATAGGGAGAGTAGGCAAAGACACCTTACAACAAAAAATGAAACTGAGGTGCTTATGGTCTGATCACCAAAATAAGTGCCTTTCAGAGTAAATAATTTTGGTTTGCCCCACAAGAAGCATTAACCTCTCCCACTATCTTTCACCCACCTGCTTATATTTGATAAGGAATGAATGCTAGCTCCAGTGTTTTGGGGGTAACAGAATGGGTATTTTCTCTGCTTTTTTGTCAGTTAAGAAGGCTGCAAAACAAACTCGTTAAAAAGCTTTTTCTTACGAAAGGAGTTTAAACAATTTCTAATACTGTTTAATGAAAAGTACAAAAAAAATTGCAAAACTTGGTGTCAATTTAAACAATATGGGTGGGACTGGATGGGAGATCTTCACTGCCTTTTTACAGCAGGAAATAAAATCCTGTGATGTAATGTGAAGCTCAGGAATGTAACGTGGCATCTAGTAAGTTACTGAATTATTTTCTGTTCCTGCCTGTCATCAGGTTAAGTCAAATCAGTACTTGCCTTTGACCAAGGCACACTTAATACTTTGTGGGTTTTTTAATGGGAGAAGAGGATTTTTCCAGCTGGTGCAAGTTACAGAACCTTTGACAGTGTGGCTTGCAGTTTCTGATGTTTCACTGTAGCATTTCTTGTTAAATGGCAGGCAAAATAAGCCAGTTTCTCTACTAAACAGTAGTATTTGACAAATATATTTACATACTTGTTTAGAAAGTATGAAATTCCGCTAGCACCACTAATTCAAAACTGTGTGTGCTAGCTAACCAAATGCTAATGTTGTAAAATCAGCATTTGACAAAACCACACACACTTTTGGTCTTAAATGCTTAGCTGACCTGTGCTGCGTGATGGCCAGAAAAGTGGTTGTTCACTGAGAGTTAGGGCAGGTTGTGTTGCAGCTTCAGTCCTCAGGCAGCCGTGCACAGAGGAGATGGGTCCTGCAATTTTAAACACACTGTGGAGGTTCTGCCTTTGTCAGGCTTTTACTTAGGTTTGTATATTTCCAACCGAGCAAAACACTGTTTTATTGCCATTCCATTGTGTATTAAGTTCTTAAAATCTTTCCTTCCCCCAGAAAAAGAGGAAAATGGCTTTGAAATTGGATTTAAATACTGCACTTTATGAAATATTAATGTCGGCTTCCCGAGGCAGAGTAATTAAAGAGGGTCATTGCTTGTTATTTGTTTGTGTCCACTCAGGAGATCTATGGCTACGATCTATGTCGCTGGAAGTTGGTGCTAGTTACTGTAGGAGTGCTCTGTTCTGGTGGCTTTCTTCTCCTCCTCCTCTATTGGATGCCTCAGTGGCGTGTGAAAGCAACATGCAAGAGGACTACGCTTAAAGACTGTGAAGTGGTTCTGCTGAGAACAACTGTAAGTCTACAGGAGGGTGTGCTTCTCCCAGTTTGCGCTTGTTTCACATCCCTCTTGCTGCTTGCTAAAATACGCAAATCTTTGCCTGCAGCGTAGATGTGGTTTTGTTTTACAGCGCTGCGGAACTATGTTCCTTGGTGTGGTACGTAGCTTTGCTGCCCGACTGGGCAGACTGACAGCTGTTTGCAGAGGGAATGGCAAAAAAAGTCTTTGCTTTTGGATTTTGATGCAGTCATCAAAAATTACCGAACAGATACCTTGTTCATATAACCTGGTAGCATGGTCTTCCCTCCCTTGTTCAGCAAAGATACACTTGTTAAATTAAGGTGTAACTGTGAACCCAAGTGTGGTTTGCTTTGAAGCCATTTTCTTTCTCCACAGTTGCTGTGTACAGTCCCTGGTTATGAGCCGGTGTTAAGTCCTCAGTTATTTGAAGTTGTAGGGTGTATGCAGCTGAATACATAGGAATCTCATAGTTCCTCCTACTACAGAACAACTAATAATAAATTGTGAGGGGCTGAAGATGGCAATATTCAAGTACCAAGACTCATTGCTTGAAAAAATATCAATTTTCTGGTGCAAAAAATATGCCTTTAGGCTTGTGGGAAGAAAATACATTCTTAAGGTATCTGACACTAACTTGAGGATATCTCCTGTGGTTATGTATAGGCTCTGCTAATCTGTCGTCTGTTGTTGGCACATTTTGCTACAGCTGTTGTACCAAAATGCTGTTTAAATGCTGTTTCATCCAAACACTTTTTCCCTCTCTTTTTAAGGATGAATTCAAGATCTGGTTTTGTGCAAAGGTTCGCATTATGCCTTCTTTGGGAGCCAGTCCTTTACAGAATCCTAACCCTATTGTACACAAGGTTTCGAATGGCCATGCTGTTCATTTCTGTGAATCTGCTGCAGAAGAGAATAAAAATGATTTGAAAAAATATTTGCCTGTAAGTAAACCTGCAATACTGCGCTTGCTAAAGTGTCTCGAGTAGTATCTAGAGCAAACACACGGAGTACAGTACACATGAGCTACTTTTGTGTAGAAGGCTAACTCATTCTTTGGGTGGCACACAAATCTTTTCCTCAGTAACCTGTTACTGGAAATTATGGAATGCTTGAAAGGTAATTTGGGAAGAAAGCTATTCATTTTTCAGTGAAGCTTTTCAAAATTAATTTTCTATCACTGTTCAGAATCAGGTCAGTCAGAAGAGAGATGCTAAGGGCTGCTGGTTTAATATCTGTCTGTTGCCTTGCAGATCCGTTATTTCACACATCACAGCGTGAAGTATTTCTGGAATGATTCTGTGCAAGGTTTTGATGTTGTACGGTAAGAGTGCGTTCTCTTTTGTCATGTGCTTCAAACTGCATTTAAAAAAAAAAAACACAATAGCGTGCCTAAGAACATGCTGAAAATTGTTACGGTCTTCTGCCCAGCTGTTGTAGCTCATTGAGTCTGAACCCTAGTGGGAGCAGGGACATCTTAACTTGGTGTGACTTTGGCAGGAAGGCATTTGTTTAATTTACCTTTGTCAAGCACCGTTCGTATGGGGTGACGGGCTGCATGCCGCTACAGGCTTTTTGCCTGTTCTTGCTGTGTTACTTGAGAATGGTAGCACCTGTTTGTAGGCAGTAGTTCTCCTATAAACTCCTAAAAACTTCCCTTCTGATGGAATAACTTACATTTTTTGCATTGCTGCTGAGCTGAAAGGAGTATCTAGGAAGAGGAGAATTCACTTTGTTGCTCACCTTTGTGTAGGTCTTTGCTGCTACATTTTAGTCCAATTGAGCTGAAGTTAATCCCTCTTTTGGTACTTTCCAGTAACAAAATCTGGTCTCTTGCATTCATAGAAAACGTCTTTTAGCGGGCAATACCAGCTGCACTCGCTGAACGTGCTGGGCTGTATTCATTTTATCCAGCAGTGCTGTTGCGTGATGTTAGAGTTGAAAAAGAAAGTTCTTTTTTCTGGTGCTACTGATAAGGCCTTCCTGTAACGCTAACAAGTTAAATGAACACAGGCTTCCCCAGTTTTGACAACTGCTCGTTAAAATAAGAGGTTCGGATCAGAAATTTAATCTCTTTCTAATTTAAATCAATATTCACTGCACTGAACTCTTGGGGAAAAGTCCAAGCAGTACATTACACACAGAAAAAGACTTAATTACCAGCGACTGAAGGAAAGAAAAATAGCCAAAATTTCTGTAAGAAACATACTCTGCAAACATTTGTTATGTTTTCCCAGAGAAGCGTGTGCAGATAGTATGGAAAGTTAGCAGCAATGACAACAATTTTAAAGAAATTACCATAATACAAGCAGTTACAAAACTCAGATCTCCTTTGGGAGGGTGTAAATGTCTCAGTTCATGGGTAAATAATTAAAAGCTTTGTATGCATTTTTTCATGTTAAGCCTCCCATGAAATACAGTGGTGCAGGTAGTGATGCTTGACATTTTGCATTAGAGTGTCCTGTTTTCATGCCTCTCGTGTTGCTAATTTAAACTGTTCAAAGGGAGTGCTTCCTACAGGTGGGATTAAAAAACCCTCAAAACTGTATTTCTGTGCTAAAAACCTGTATGGGGAGAAAAAATATATGGCTCCACGTGTTTAGAAAAACAATGTTGTTCCTTAGCATTAAAGCAGAGACTTGAAACTTGGCATTTGTTGGCGGTTGGACTGTGCCTTTTGATGTTCCTGTGACAGCTCAGCCAATTTATAAGCCCCAGAAAAATCTCAGATATGCCTGTGAAGTTATGTGAGCATTTTTTCCATCACATTCTTGCTGATATGCCAAACTTTCAGTTCTTTGATGTATTGGCAATGACTGAGCCTGACCACTTGTTTGGTCAGGTAGTATAGCTTAGCTGGACACCATCATTTAGCAATTGGAGAATGAAGAGGAGAACCAGCTGGATCTGAGACAAACTCGATACTGGCAGAGTACTAAATCACTTTTGCACAAGGTCAGCTAAGAATGAGAGTTTGCTGTAAGTTTTCTCTGAAGTGGATTAGGTATGATCACACCCTAGACACCACCTCAGAAGTAAAAGCTGAACTTGGGAATGGTGAATAGTCTGAAAAGAAGTCTTAAACATTTGTCCTTCATTGAGATACTTTTTTCTTAATCTGCTCTTCAGTTTATGTAAAAACCAGAAATCGGTATTAGCTAGTAACAGGGTAGAGAATCAAGTTAATATTTGTAAGGAGACTGAGGGCTTTACAGTAAAATCCATAAGGCAAGTGACACAGTTGTAGTTGTGATCTAAGCACAAGATAGGTTCACTCTGTGCAGTCAGTTATGCAAGTATCCAGAGGCAGAACAGTGTGAGCACATAATTAAAGACTTAGCACAGTGCAGAAGGGAAGTAAATTAAGATTTCTTGGGCAACTAATTCAGTTATGAGAGCTTGGGTTTCATATCATTGTTCTTTTTATAATCACATAATACTAAGATCGCTGTTTTAAACACAGGAAATGCAAGTGTAATTGTTCTTAAACTCAATCAGACGTGGTCACATAGCCAAAGAGGATGCAACTTTGACCTTTTATGTCTGTTTTGTTTTAGCTAGTGTCAAGTGAATCTCTGAGTGAGTTGATGAGTGCTTTATGTAATAAACTGTGTGCACACAGGGATTTTTTTAAATGCCTTGGGAATTCAGCACTGTAGTAGTACTGTGAAAAGCAGATAACATCCTGCAGAAGCTTTGTCGCTGGACATTACACACATAGGTATTCATATTTGCATATAAAACATTTAGTTTTAGGGACCCTTCTTAAACACATTGTTCCATTCCAGTTTGTGCAGGAAAAAAAAAAAAGAATCATTTGGAATAGAATGGGAGGAAAGGTATTAACAGAGAATCGTATGTTTATCTAAAAATCATCACTTTAAAATCCACGAAACTGAAAAATTTTAAGGGAAACTTGTAAACCTGTGGCCAGATTTACACATTAACACTTTCACCTTTTGTACTTTCATGAGAAGTTGTTGGAAACATGGTCCCAGCCTTTGCAATAGTGAAGATGGTTAAAGCTTTCTCTGTGTTCTAGAGAATAGGAGTAATTGTTACCATATATGCACAGTAAAGATTTTTTTCTTTACTGTAACAACTCCAAATCCTTTTCAGTAGATAACTTAATAGATATCCAGTATAAAAGACTCATGTGGAATAGTGCTGGTTTCGACATGTCACTGTGAAAGACGTTTGGAAGGTAGTGATGATTTCCTGTCCATCCAAAGTAGGTCTGCCAGAAAATGCATGGGTATTGGGTGTGATATGGCTGATATACTGCGTGTGGTAGTTGAAATGATCCCATAGCTGTAAACACAATGATGTTTCAGGTGTGCTTGCTTGTCTGCCCATCTTCTGAATTACAGCATTTGCTTTCACAGCATGTAGAAAAGTCCTGTGAAGATGAGTCTTCCAGTGAGAAGGAAGTACTTAAGATGTAGACTGTCCTTTATGTAGTCTTGGATAAGATTTTGATAGCAAGGTGCTGCAAAATAGCTTGAGTGTAGATTTATTTGATAAAATGCTTCCATTACTAGAGACAAATGAAGATAATATGAAGAAATATAATCTATATTGATTTCATATAATGTTGTATAAAACTTGCTCACTTTCTCTTTTAGAGGCCTTTGGTTACTAGTTATGCTAGTGTTTGACTTAATTTTTTAAGTGTATCTCCTTTGATTGAAATAGATATGACTATCCTACAGTGTAAGATGTGTCAACCAGAGGACTGCTTGTAACATCTCGTTGGTATCTTCAGATGTGACAAAAATAGCTAGAAAAGCATTAATCTGCAGACTATGTTCTTTTATAATACAGTGTATCTCTTGGCAAAGACCTGGCTCTTCTGAATTACTGAATACTTCCTCTTAAATACCAAGTTTTTTAAATAATTTTTCCTTTACTTAGAGGTCTAGATGAATCTACTTTCTGTTCTTCAATTCATAATGAACACAGCACAGGACTGACAAAGGGAGTGCATGATTTCAGGTAATGTTACTGTATTTAAAGGGTCATTCCATAACCCATGTTCAGTGTTAACAAAACTGGAAGACAATCGAGTGATTAGTGTTCACAGACAGGTTCTTACACTTCCTTCAAAGAAGGTTGTTAGATGTATGAAATTCTTGTTTCTCTTACCTGTACACTGAGTAGAAACTAGACTCTGATGTTGTGTTTTCTTTTTCTTAAACCACACTGACCATGGGAATTGGAACTATAGATTAAAGTAATTCAGAATATATTTCTGGAATTGTATTTACTGCTTAACATTTTCAAAATAAAATGAGTGTACAAAAAGAATAGCAAGAAGTTAAACTTTCAACCGTGTTGGCAGGAATACAGCGAATTTGGCAGTTGATGTAAAAAAAAGTAATTACTTTTTTTCCACATAACTCACCTTTAAGTGACATTACCATAACATACTGTTGCTGTTGAAGGGTGGTGGGGGGGTTTGGGGTCAAATAGACTAATACCCCGTGGAAACTTTAGCTGGAAAAGATGCACATTTGTCCCAAGCTGTAGGTTTTTGAAGGCTTGAAGGGAATGCCAAGAGAGACCACTCTGCTGCTGCTTGTTTTCTTTTCCATCCTTGGCCTAGTGGTCATTGTGAGAGAGGGGATAGTGTGCTAAATGGCTAATGAGGAATATTAGATGTCAGGAAGCAGCAAATCTGGCCTAAACGTAACTAATTTCTTATTTTAGGAAGAGCAGGCTGAAACTCCCCAGGCCTTGGGGCTTTGGCTTCAATTTTAAAAGCCTAGTTAGTATCGCAGGTATGTCCCATAGCTTGCATGGATCTGTCTCTGGTTGGATAGGGCTAAATATATTCCCCACTTCCTCTTTTCATTCTGGTTGGCAAGAAATAACTGGGGAAAATAATACTGTTTTTTTAACAAGCCATTTTAAAATAACGTTGTAAATACGCTTGTCAAGGGACACATCTGAAGTGCATAGGCAGAGGAGAACCTAGTCTAGAAAAAACTTATTTTAAAATTTAACTTTAATAGTACATAGGTCAGGGATTTCTTGGTTGTCAGATGTGAACAGCAAGCTGGAATATATGTTGTGAGAATGTAGGTATGTACTTAATTATTGATACACTACCCAACCTAGAATAGTTTGGATTCTGTTGCATTTCTGGCCTGTTTTCTTGCAAATGAGATGATCTTAGGATTTAAAATACGGAAGCGTCCGTTTGCTCATCATTCAATTTTCTGTCAATTTTTGTTTTTTTCATACAATAAATCCTTTTCCTTAAGAACATCCTTTAAGAGCTTCACCATGTCAGTGTCACTTAACTAGCTCCTGTCCCATCAGAGGTTAATTTTTTGCTCCCCTTTTCATGATTTGCCTTTCTTCATGCTAAGAATAATACCAAGATACACAGCTATGAAAACAGTGTCTTACTGCAGGGTAAGAGTTAATGCTTGTTTGGTCTTAGCTTAATGAGAAGCCCACGCTGGCTTTCAGAATGGCATGTTTGATAAACTGTGTAGAGGTCCAGTGTTACAGGGAAATCTTATTATGAAAGAACCTAAAATTAAATTATGGTTTAAATTGAAGTATAAAATAATTACCTTCATACTGGAATACCTTACTGAGTAATTGTTTTCTGATAAGCGCCTTTTGAAACAATATGATAAATAAAAGGAGCCACAGGTTAAGTAATACTTTATACTTTCTCATATTAATGGAATTACTTTAAGATTTAAAATAAAAATTTTAACTGTCTTTTCATACTTTTTTTTAATGCAGAAAAGCGTTCTATGGAGTAAATGAAATTGCTGTGAAAGTGCCTTCCATTTTTAAGCTTCTGATTAAGGAGGTAATTAAACAAATTAAAGTATGTAATTAAAAGTTACTTCAAGTACAATGACTTTTGGACTGGTCTTCAAATAACAGTGTAAAACAGACTCCTTCCCCCAGAGCCCTGTACTGTAAAGCAAAATGATGCAGATCTTTATTTGTGAGCTCTCCAAACTTAAGAGGCCTTAGCTGTAATCTCTTCAGAATTCACTACCTGGTGCCTTAGCAAGGATGTTAGAAAACATGTCAGAATTCTTTGGGAGGGTATGCATCTTATTTACTGTTGTTAATTTCAAACATAAGATGACCAAATGTGTTCTCTATTATCAGCCCAGGGATTATAAACACAACATACTCATCAAATCAAATGTGTTCTTAGATATACTCCGGTTGGATTTGTTCCGTTTTCCGTGTATCGGGTGGATTTGAATAGCTGACTGGCTATCCATGTGCTACAGTAGTGCATGTTAGAAATTTTTGAACATATAATAAACTCTCCAACCTGAACTGACAGAGTAACAACTTGAGGTGTCAGTGCACTTATTAATATGAAATAAATAATAACATGCAAATTAATTTAGGAATTGTAACTTAAGCTTTATGTCCTGTCATGCTCTGATGTCTAGGGAAAAATGCGTGCAGTTTTTAAAGGGTATTATTTTAGTGAGAACTGTGCTTTTTGAGGGGTTGAAGTAATGAAAAAGAGGGAATAGTTTGGCAAAACAGATAAAAGTCATGTTGTGCTGGTTTTAATTGGGACAGAGTTAAGCTTGACACACATAAAGAATTGAAAGGCTTATTTGCTCCATGGAGGAGGAGGATGATTCTGACTGTTTTCTGATGGAGAATGCATGTGACCTTTTGGTGTAACCTTAATGTTCTGTCACTCTTCTAGGTTCTCAACCCTTTTTACATTTTTCAGTTGTTCAGTGTGATATTGTGGATCACTGATGAATATCACTACTATGCATTAGCAATTGTGATCATGTCTGTAATATCCATTGTTAGCTCACTCTACACCATTAGAAAGGTAAGTTCAAAAACAGATGCCTCTCTTCAGCATTCTGCTGATTGGTTTATTTTGATGCGAGATTACCTACAAATCTTTAAGAATTTTTTAGATACAGATTATGGGTTTTCTGTCTTTGAGTTGAAATAATTTGGATTTACAGTTCTTGGGATTCTTCTCTGATGACTTTTCATGGTGTTGAATCAGTAGGTTGACCTCAGATAAGAGAAACTCTCCTTCACTTAACGGAAACCTGGACACAAGTTTATGTACCAAGCTGTATTGACAGTAGTGATTCCATCTTGCATCGTTTCCTTCTGTTTGATAAAGTCCAGCAGAAGTGAGCACCGACCAAATGTGTGAACTGTTAAAATGGTGACGATTTTTCTCTGTAGACAGCTATAGCTGGTGAAAATCAAAGTAATAATTATCCTTAAACTGCAATCTCTAAATTCAGAGTAGAGACAAAAAAAACCCCTCTTACCTTAATCCAAGTTCATACAACTACTGCAGTTTTAATGTATGTATGTTAATGATCAAATGTTTTTATAACATTCTGTGTGGCAATGTATATTCGCTTCCAGAATGCTGTTAGAAGTAGGAACCTGTTCAACTCAAACTTCCCATGTTTCCTGAACTGTGTTCAAGAGAACGTTTTGAGTAACTTTTAGTTGTAAAAGAATGTTAAAGAAACTCATGACTTGTACTTGTAGGGATAGAATGTGCATCTAGAAGAAGACAAGCTTTGCTTTTAAACAATGATCTGTTTTTTCCCCTTTGCAGCAATATGTCATGTTACATGACATGGTAGCAGCTCACAGCATTGTCAGGGTGTCTGTCTGCAGAGGGAACCAAGGTAAGTTTCACAGGGGGTTTGGAAGGTTGAATTTAAATTGTTACCTGAGTGTAAAGTTGGTGTGCATCTGTGCTTTCTGTGATCAGCTTGAAATGCTTGCCTTTCTTAGCAAAGTTGCATGGGAGGGAGAAGGAGGAGTTGCAATGTGGAAATGAGAGAGGATAATCAATCACCTGGTCAGCATTATTCTTCTAGATGGTATTTTTAGCAAGCATCAGCTTTGTTCTAGATGAGGTGCTTCTCCTCTTCCTGTTTCTCATTATCTACCACTCCACAGACTTAATTGTCATTGCAGTTTCTTTTTGGCTTTCATATGTTGGGTTTCCATTGCAATTTATTACCCAGCAGGGGCTGCAAATTGATTTCTGGACTTGTGCTCATTTGGAAACCACAGTACTTGAACAGGGTTAGGCTGTGGTGTGTGATACTGTTCTGTAAGACATGCATTTGTGTTGGGCTTGTGTCTTTATACTGAAGTTATACTTTAGTTAATTGGTAATATCTTTTGTACAAGATTGATTCCTTTCGTTTGCTGTTATGAACTGTATCCATGTGCTCTACAATTTAATCTCTGGTGGAATTAGGTAGATTAGTGACTTTTTTTGTATCTTTTGAAAAACTTCTCATACTGCCATAAATAAAATGGAGTATAATCTTAATGGTCACCACCTGGATCTTAGGTGTGAGGATCTTTATCAAGTTTTGTAGGTGGTGGCTATTTTCAGCTAAACTTGTTTATGTTTTAACACTCAGAAATAGAAGAAATCCTTTCCACCGACCTTGTGCCTGGAGATATCATGTTGATTCCATCTAATGGGACAATTATGCCCTGTGATGCAGTACTTCTCAGTGGTACTTGCATTGTAAATGAAAGTATGTTAACAGGTAAAGTAAACTTGATTCAGTTCTGCGTGGCTAAACATACTAGTTTATACTTATGTGCATGCTTCACTTGCAGGATGCTGTAGCAGAAGCGGGTACGTTTATTTTGCTTGAAATGCGTATGCTCCTAAGTACTTATGTACTTGTGTTCTGCTGATCTGCAACACCTACCTGGTACTGCTTGGCAACTCCAAAAATGAGTGGTGGTTTCTTGTGGAAAAGCTTTCCTCTTGAGAGTTTGTCTTCCTGCCTCTTGACTTACAGTTCTCAGTGCACACTGAGTTCTGCAGTACGTGTCTTCAGAAAATTTTTGCCCAAACTTTTTAGCTGCTTTCAAGAATGAAGGTAGTGAATAGAATGTTCTGCTGTACTTAAAAACAAATTATCTCAAGTTGTGCCTGCATACTCCAAAACCAGGGACTGGTTGTATTTGAAGAACAGCTTCACTGAATAGGATGGAAGTTTTGTTATTCCTAGTTTAACCTGTCCAAACTCTCAGCGTTTAGAAAATTATAGTTCAGAGATTGTGTTTTATCGTGTTCAATTCTTTGAATGTTCTTGAGCCTCTTGCTGCTACTAACAACTGATAAAAATTGACTGCAGCCCTAGCATGAGTATACTCAGTCACCCAAGGAGCTGAGGATAATTTTGTTCAACTTCTGTTTTTTTCTGAGTAAAGATGGGGTGGTGCCTTGCAGGAGGTAAAGGAAGCTTGTCCTGTTTTCTTTCAAAGAACTGTATTTTC